AGGTGACTCCCCAGTTCTCAATGTCACTAATATGTCCTGTAACTCAGTTAAATAAAACCTTTTAAATGTTTAGAATAACTGAAATACAACAAATCAAAAACAGATAACTGACTTTGAATTTTCTGATTTTCTAGCTCAAACAGTTGAAGCCTCATATTATGTTTTCATGTCTTTGAATTTTGTCCTCAATGTCTTCACTGCAGCCAATGGGGACAGCAGTTTATAGTTCAATGCAGACGGTTTTTGTATAATATTTAAAGTATACTATTTTTTGTATTTTATTTTGATCTATTATCTGGTTTTATTCTGTGAGTGTGAATTCTATAGGTTGCAGATAACAAAGCTCTCGTCCAGGGATCCATTGAGGAGACCACGATGGGAATAAATGGAAAGCAACCCAGAGTCCAGGATCAGTATCAAAGATCAGTGTGATGTTACAAAAGTGTGATGGCATCATCTTTTGGATGATGGACATTATTGCTCCCTCTGCACTTGCACTGATATTGGACTCCATGTGTTATTCATTCAAAGAGATGCTTTTAAAGTTTTCTTTGTTGTTGTTGTTTCTTTTAGACAGTGATAGTGGTTCTCTGAGCTTTTAACTTTGATGAATATCAGGGGTATAAACAGACATTTTAGACTCAGTGATAGGTTAAATACCAACCTATATATAATTCTATCCAATTATTTACGAAAGTGCCACAATAATGTAATATATTTGAGTTCAAATATCTTCATTTGGGGGATTGTCCAATTAACTATTGTTATATCAGAGCCATGAAACCGGGCTCAGCAGCTTCTATGGACATAGCTAAAGGCAGAGGTGAATACAGCCAAAGAGGACGATGGAGGAAGCCAGGAAGAGAAAAGGGAAGAGGAGCTGCAGGAGTAGAGTAAATGTGGGTCTGGCTTTTAGTGGTTGGTTGTGAAATAAAAGTCTGCAGACAGACGGCGAGCTGGCCTTTCTTGCTGTGTCTTGTATTGTTGCACTGTAGCTTGATGTTTGGTTTATTGCAGTGATAACAAATGCACACGTGTCCATATTAATGACACCGATAATGCAACTGGGGGCAAATCTTACATGGTGTTATTTTAATTTCATGTAATTTTCATTGAGGGAGGGGTGGCAGATGGATTGCCATGAAATTTCACACAGACATTCATGGTCCCCAGAGGATGAATACTAATGAACCAACATTGTAAGGTGCTATGAATAAAGTGTCTTATTCTGTGTGTGTGTTCTATGTATTGATGAACACTTCATTTACTTCTTTCTCTCCTTTTCTGCTTTCCCTGTTGGTTTGTCTTTTTCTGTTTCTTCCAGTTTACTTTAACCCACCTTGTGTGTGTGTGTGTGTGTGTGTGTGTGTGTGTGTGTGTGTGGGGATGAGGGGTGCGTTAGTTTTATTGTTTTTGAGAGCGACGCTGTGAAGTCAGCCACCCTGGTCACGCTTGAGCGAAGTGGCGGGGAGTTTCATTACGCTGTGAAATAACGATCACGCCGTGATTAAGTTGATTAGATTTAAATGAATATTTGAAAGGCGAACCAAATTGCTGATTAAATATTTACTGGTGGTTTCCTTTCTGACAGACGGTGAGATCATATCACATCTCCCAAGTGACTGACTCTACTGTACGGGAGAGGCGCTACTACTCCAATATCACATAACTGTAATTATATGTTAATCAGGTTTATGATTGTCAGCTTTAATGCTGTTTATTTTTAGTTAGGTAGCTGTTTACATGGGATGGTGTATCTATTGTGATTTATACTTGTAGTAATGATAATAAAAAAAAATATGCCAGTGATGGAAGTGTATTTTATTTATCTAACATAAACCACTGATGCAAATATTTGTTGAAGAATAGTCAGATCTTTTACTCAAATAAAAGTGTAAACACAAAGTTGAGACCCCCAATGTCAAAAAATATTGATAACATGACAATAGTTAACAACATTAATGAATGTTGTCATTGCTATTATCATTCTTTGTTTTACTTCGATTTGGTTGATAATCACAATCTAAGTTTAAGAACTATGCTTCCCATAATGCATTAGGAGATGTAAAAGTGAAGTATATTGTTGCCATGGAGACTTTTTGGCCAATATTTGTTTACATTTTGGACAACTGACACTGTTAATATGTCGAATTAGCCTTTGGATTGGATATACAGACACTGCATTACACTGACAGTGGAGACCATGTAGAAACGTCTGTTCTGGAGATATAATGAGCGTCTTTTTGTCTTTTATTTCTAAGCAGATCACACAAATCAAAAACTATGTGTATGATGATTGTGTGTTAATATCTGGAGTATGAAAGCAATCCACACTAAGGCTTTTAAAGTACCTTCTATCTAACTTTACTTCAGTAAAGGAACAAAGCACTCAGTTACTTTCCATCAGTGAATATAAAGTCGCTCATTTACCATTTTTTACATATGATGCCTGAGAATGGTTTAATAATTTGTTAAATGATGTCATCAGTTACTGTTTTTTCTCCCTTTTTATCGCATAATGTGTGTTTAACCCACCATAAAGCTGCATTACAGGAAACGTGGAGCACTGGTGGCTCCAAGTGGCAGCAGGAGGTAACTGGGTAAAGATGGTGAAGCTCTTTAAATGTATGTGAATGCATTAGAGTTACAAATTCACAGATATAAACAACATCTGGATGTTGCTCAGGTGTTTGTTTTACCTCTTTTTTCCCCATTGATTTCATTTTCATCTTAACCTCCTGCTGTTTGCACAACCTCCTTATAAAAAAGATGATCAGTTATGACCCAGTGAGCTTTTATGGCTTGTTTTTTAACACTTCAGACCAAGTTTAGATTCATCTGAGGCCTCATCCAGTCATATAAAAAAATGTTTTTTAAAGAAACGTAACATGGTACAAAGCAATTCTTAAATTAGTCTTTTCCCATTGTTAAACCAGGACCTTTAACAATGACAACAGCTTTTATGTAGATGTACTTTTTAAATATGTTTTATTTATTATTATTTATTAATTTGTACATTAGTAGAATATAATTTAACACTGAAAAAGAACATTTATTATGAATTCTAGTGTCAGAAATACAAAAGGAAATTACAAAAAAAAGAAATAGAAGAATAAATACAGATATTTTGTGACATGAACACTGATTAAAATTGCCGTTTTGCATTACATTTTTTTTTTTTTTTTTTTATTTTATTATTAATCATAATATTTTTTTATTTTTTGTTTTTTGTTTTTTTTCCCCCCCCTTTTTTTTTTTTTTTAAAGTTTGTTTTCTTTTTTCCTCCACCATTTTCCCTCAAATTTTCCCCCCTTCCCCAATCCCCTCCCCCCAACCCCCCCCTTTTTAATTGGGTTCTTTTAAAAAAAAGGTTTTATTTGTACTTTCCAACCCCCGAACCCAAATTTACTTTTTTCCCCACTCATTCCTGTTAACTTGTGGATTCTTGGCTACTTCTGTTTGGACTTACAAACTGCTCTACCTGCCTGGTTGTCTCCATTTGGGTCATTTTCCTTGCTGCCTTGTACACACCTGTTGGATTATATACACTTTAACTCATAAATCTTTAAAAATGAGTCAATGTGTAGAATGATTTTAAATACCTACATCAGCAACAAGTGTACAGAAGCCAAACATCAGAACCACAGCATCACTAGATAGTAGATGTAAGTAAATATTCCAGTAATTATAATAGATAGATGCTTGAATGTCCTCTGAAAGACAAATTAGTTTGCTGCTAAAAAGAAGAAAGAAATCATTTGAATAACTGACAGTGAACACAGTCAGAAACAGGTTATTATCATGCAGTATTTGTGTCATTAATGTAAAAGTAATGGAGGAAATGGAGGCTGTTCTGAACCTAACTGACTTCTTTATATGCTCAACACTACAGCTGGCACTGAAATTAATTTGTTCCCTATCACCTCCTTGCAGACATTTTGATAAGATATCTTCCAATGAGCAGCTGGTGCGTAGAACGTAGTCGATCAAAAGGATCTTAATTACAGCAGAAAGCTGAAAGTCACTCTGTTTTAAAGAAAACATTTCCAGCTTGTGAGGAATATCTACGTTATTGATAAACCTGGAGCGATCGGCTCATCTTTGAATTATGAGCAGATGGTAGACATCATGTGTACACATGCTGATCCTGTTCCGTCCTGCCTCTGTGGGAAATCATACTGTTAGAGACAGCACAAAGTTTGTTAATTTAATACTATGACTACTACTAATACTTGTACTTTCCTTGAGTATTTTAATTCTTTGGTACCTCATACTTCTACTCTACTATATTCAAAAGGAAATATTGTACTTTTTACTTCACTACATTTATTTGACAGCTGTAGTTACTTTACAGATGAAGATTAAGAAAAAAAACTATAATGAGCATCTAAAATATAATGCATTGTAATACAGTAAATAAAACCAGCCAACATATTTTCAGAATTTGCACAAAACACAGATGTCAGATGTTCAGCTGGTGCATATCTGTTATTGTTTAGGGACCCGGGCCTGGATCTTGGGTACGCTAGACCAAGGATCTCTCTGGTCTAATTGAGAAATTAAATGCTTTGCTTGAAATTTGGGCAGACAAAAAACCTACTATCACAACTGGACCTTACACTTACTTAAGAGTATTTACACGCACGTGGGTACAGTAGGACATTATAACAATGCCATGACAAACTTAGAGAAATTTAGGCTCCAATACAGAAAACTGGGGGAATATGGTTCATAAGTCTTAAAGTCTAAAACCATCCAAATCGTCACCAACCATCTGATCAAGAGTACATTGGACTGGTTTGTCCACCAGTGCACAATTAACAATGGTGAAATTCACTGGTCAAATTGTTCTGTGCATTTGAAGCAAGGCTGGAGGCTGGTAAGAGTAACTAAACATTAAGATCTGAGATCTGAAAGCCTGATAACCCCTCCCTCTTCTTCATTAAGGTCCAATGTGTGCAGATATTTCGATGACCCCTCCCCTTAAAAATATCTGCCAGGTTATAGATAAGTGTAACAAATGTGGTGGAGTGAGAGAGTTGATAAGCCTCATTTACTGCCGGTCGGTGAGTAAACAAAAATGGACATGTTTTGGATTAAACTGCAAACTCTGCTGAAAAAAAGTGGAACAATTTTTAGTTCTGCAACATTGAGGGGTGAACATGAACAGAAAGGAGTTCGACTGGACCCGGAAACCTTCTCTTGTTTGATCTGTCTGGATCTACTAAAGGATCCAGTGGCTATTCCCTGTGGACACAGCTACTGCATGAACTATATTAAAAGCTTCTGGGATGGAGAGGATGAGAAGCAAATCCACAGCTGCCCTCAGTGTAGGCAGACCTTCACACCGAGGCCTGTCCTGGTGAAAAACACCATGTTAGCAGTTTTACTGGAGGAACTGAAGAGGACTGGACTCCAAGCTGCTCCTGCTGATCACTGCTATGCTGGACCTGAAGATGTGTCCTGTGATGTCTGCACTGGGAGAAAACTGAAAGCCTTCAAGTCCTGTCTGTTCTGTCTGATCTCATTCTGTGAGAAACACCTCCAGCCTCACTTTGAATCACCTGCCTATGAAAAACACAAGCTGGTGGACCCCTCCAAGAAGCTCCAGGAGAACATCTGCTCTCGTCATGATGAGGTGATGAAGATGTTCTGCCGTACTGATCAGCAGTGTATCTGTTATCTCTGCTCTGTGGAGGAACATAAAGGCCACGACACAGTCTCAGCTGCAGCAGAAAGGACTGAGAGGCAGAGAGAGCTCGAGGTGAGTCGACAAAACATCCATCAGAGAATCCAGGACAGAGAGAAAGATGTGAAGGAGCTTCAACAGGAGGTGGAGGCTATCAATCGCTCTGCTGATAAAGCAGTGGAGGACAGTGAGAAGATCTTCACTGAGCTGATCCTTCTCATCCAGAAAAGAAGCTCTGATGTGAAGCAGCAGGTCAGATCCCAGCAGGAAATTGAAGTGAGTCGAGTCAAAGAACTTCAGGAGAAGCTGGAGCAGGAGATCACTGGGCTGAAGAGGAAAGACGCTGAGATGAAGAAGCTCTCACACACGGAGGACCACACCCAGTTTCTACACAACTACCCCTCACTGTCAGCACTCAGTGAATCTACATCCAGCATCAATATCCGTCCTCTGAGGTACTTTGAGAATGTTTCAGAGCTCAGAGATAAACTACAGGACGTTCTGAGAGAGAAATGGACAAACGTCTCACTGACAGTGACTGAAGTGGATGTTTTACTGCCACAACCAGAGCCCAAGACCAGAGCTGGATTCTTAAAATATTCACGTGAAATCACACTGGATCCAAACACAGCATACACAAAAATCGTTTTATCTGAGGGGAACCGAAGAGCAACAGTCCTAGGGATAAATCTATCTTATTTCAGTCACCCAGACAGATTCACAAGCAGTTTACAGGTCTTGAGTAGGGAGAGTCTGACTGGACGTTGTTACTGGGAGGTGGAAAAAGGCAACGGAGGAGTTTCAGTAGTTGTCGCATATAAAGACAGTAACACTGTAAATGAGAGATTTGGAGACAATGACAAGTCTTGGGCATTAGGTTTTTACAAAAAACGTTATGCACTCAGACATAACAATATCACAACTCCAGTCTCAGGTCCTCAGTCCTCCAGAGTTGGAGTGTATCTGGATCACAGTGCAGGTATTCTGTCCTTCTACAGTGTCTCTGAAACCATGACTCTCCTCCACAGAGTCCAGACCACATTCACTCAACCTCTCTATGCTGGACTTCTTTTTTGTGGTCCCTCTGGAAACAGTGCTGAGCTGTGTGAGCTTAGTGTGTAGATAGATGAAGTTCTTGTTCTTGTTACTGAACTAAACTTGTTGATATAATCTTAGGGAAACACTTCATTAAAAGTCCTGCTTTTAAATATTACATTGATATATTTGCAATAAGGTGTAAAAGCAATAGTTTGTGTGAATGTGTTTGATTGTATAATGTTGTTGTTCTTTTATTTACACGTTATTTGACATTTTGGGTCTGAATGGTACTCCACCTAAATTCTCATTTCTCATATTTATTGATATAATTATGGCACTACATTTAAGGGTAGGGTGTTAGTATGCGTAGTGTTGAAGCAGTCGATCTGAAGCTTAAATTACAGTTTAAATGCTCGTAATCATTGGGTTAATACTTAATCATGCAACATTAGTCTCATTTGTTCCTGTTGGCTGTTTGCAAATATTAAATCCTCCACTAGAGGTCAGTCTTTACATATATTTTCCACTATCACATACTTAGTTGTACTTTGCTGCCTTTTACAATATAATATACTATATGGCCAAAAGTTTGTAGGAACTCCTGACACACTTGTGTATATAAGGTGTGCGGCTGTTTCTTTGTGGTTTTGTCTATTCTCCTTGGTTCCAGTTAAGGTAAATCTTAATGCTACAGCATATAATGGTATTTTTGACAATAGTGTTCTTCCAGCTTTGAACTGACTGTCTGGGGAAGTGACTTTCCTGTTGCTACTAACAAATGCTTGATTATAGTTTGTGTTGTATTTGAGACTTTTCATGATGTGTAGGCCTAAAATACAATTATTATCCTTTGAGTCTGATGTAGAAATCAGCTATGTTGAAATGTACAATATAAACTGTGTGCAGGATTTACTTAATAAAATCACAATTTGATACTGAACTTAATATAAAGGATGGCTTTTTATTTTCTTTCTTTTGACTCATAAGATGATTCTCCTGTGTTTCTGTAACCAATAAGTTTTGTGTCAATCAAGCAGTCCACTAGCTTTATATAACAATCATACGTGTAATATATATTTACATTTAGAGTATTTTTTATTTGCACTTTAATCAAAATATATAGAAGACAGGGATATCTTGGGTGTGAGTCAACGTGAAGCATTATCAACATTATCTTTCTGGTAGAGATTTATGACACAGCTACAAAGACCTCATTCTTGTTTTAGAGTCAAAATTAATCCAATGTTTACTCTGGCAATACTAGACCGAAATGTTGAATTTAAAATTGCCATTATTCACTATACACCTGCCCCAAGTGAGTCGAGTCAAAGAGCTTTTGGTGAAGCTGGAGCAGGAACTCACTGAGCTGAAGACGAAACACCAAATCACATCGGATCCAAATACAGTAAACTCTTGTCTGTCATTATCTGAAGACAACAGAAAAGCAACATTCACGACAGTCAAACAATGCTATCCTAATCACCCAGACAGATTCAGTGACTGGTTTTAATACTTGTACATACAAAGTCAAAGCCCTCAAAGTGAAGCCCAAGTTCAATCGACGATCGTATCTTTGCCCTAACGTTCTCTTATAACACTAAAAGCAAAACTCTATTTAAAAAGCCTCCAGTTAACAGATATTTTGCTGTAACAGCAGTGACAGTGACAGGTACAGGCCAAGTCATTAGACTTTGTGTGTAAGAGGGCTTCATAACCTGCGTTTGTTGTAAGTCGAAAGAACTTTATACCTATGTACACAAAGTAAACATCTCCACGAGGAACAAACCCTTAGTTTCTATGTTACTTATTTTTCAATTGGTAAAACTTACAACTTCATTAATTACTAACTAGTTCTATTTTTTGTTTAAATTCAACAGTGTATCTTGAGTAGAAAGGACAGTGACTCAGCACATTGTCATGTTGTCACCATGCCAAAATACCTGGGATGATTAAAGAACAAAACACACCCTGAAACTGTCAAACACCTCATCTTCCTGGGATGAACCAAAGCATGTAAACGCCTCCTTCTTTGTTCTGTCCTTATACACAGCAAGCTTCACTCTGTCCATTTATTTCCTTGTTCAGCTGGACCAGGACACAATGTCTTGTTCGATCTGTCTGGATCTCCTGAAGGATCCGGTGACTATTCCCTGTGGACACAGCTACTGCATGAACTGTATTAAAGCCCTGTAAATACATATTACACATGTTTGATTATTATATGAAGCTAGTGGACTGCTTGATTGACACAAAACATATTGGCTACAGAAACACAGGAGAATCATCTTATGAGTCAAAAGAAAGAAAATAAAAAGCCATCCTTTATATTAAGTTCAGTAACAAATTGTGATTTTATTAAGTAAATCCTTCACACAGTTTATATTGTACATTTCAACATAGCTGATTTCTATATCAGACTCAAAGGATAATAATTTTATTTTAGGCCTACACATCATGAAAAGTCTCAAATACAACACAAACTATAATCAAGCATTCGTTAGTAGCAACAGGAAAGTCACTTCCCCAGACAGTCAGTTCAAAGCTGGAAGAACACTATTGTCAAAAATACCATTATATGCTGTAGCATTAAGATTTACCTTAACTGGAACTAAGGAGAATAGACAAAACCACAAAGAAACAGCCGCACACCTTATATACACAAATGTGTCAGGAGTTTCTACAAACCTTTGGTCATATATATTATATTGTGAAGGGCAGTAATGTACATCTGAGTATGTGATAGTGGAAAATATATGTAAAGACTGACCTCTAGTGGAGGATTTAATATTTGCAAACAGCCAACAGGGACAAAGGAGACTAATGTTACATGATTATGTATTAAACCCAATGATTACGAGTATTTAAACTGTAATTTAAGCTTCAGATCGACTGCTTCAACACTACTAACACTCTACCTTTAAATACATGAAAAGTACCATAATTATGTCAATAAACATGAGAAATGAGAATTTAAGTACCATTCAAACCCAAAATGTCAAATAACGTGTAAATAAAAGAACAACAACATTATACAATCAAACAAATTTAGACAAACTAGTTCTTTTACACCTTACTGCAAATATATCAATGTAATATTTAAAAGCAGGACTTTTAGTGAAGTGTTTCCCTGAGATTATATCAATAACTTTAGTTCAGTTAAGGCCCAGAGTACTGCACTAATGATGTGTTTTATATTTCTAGTTTGTTTTGCTAAAATCTGCCATGGTACCTGTCACTGGTAATAGCATAGATAGCATTAGCAGTGACAGCATACCAAAGTGTCAACCACTGTTGCACTTGGAAATAAAAATGTTGACAAAATGAAAACGTGGGAAGTCCACACAGCTCAGCATAGCATCTATCTACACACTAAGCTCACACAGCTCAGCACTGTTTCCAGTGGGACCACAAAGAAGAAGTCCAGCATAGAGAGGCTGAGTGAATGTGGTCTGGACTCTGTGGAGGAGAGTCATGGTTTCAGAGACGCTGTAGAAGGACAGAATACCTGCACTGTGATCCAGATACACTCCAACTCTGGAGGACTGAGGACCTGACACTGGAGTTGTGATATTGTTATGTCTGAATTCATAACGAAGTTTGTAAAAACCTAATGCCCAAGACTTGTTATTGTCTCCAAATCTCTCATTTACAGTGTTACTGTCTTTGTATGCTACAACTACTGAAACTCCTCCGTGTCCTTTTTCCACCTCCCAGTAACAACGTCCAGTCAGACTCTCTCTACTCAGGACCTGACAATATGTAGTGAATCTGTCTGGGTGACAAAGATAGGATAGATTTATCCCTAGGACTGTTGCTTTTCTGTTTCCCTCAGATAAAAAGATTTTTGTGTATGCTGTGTTTGGATCCAATGTGATTTCACGTGAATATCTTAAGAATCCAGCTCTGGTCTTGGGCTCTGGTTGTGGCAGTAAAACATCCACTTCAGTCACTGTCAGTGAGACGTTTGTCCATTTCTCTCTCAGAACGACCTGTAGTTTATCTCTGAGCTCTGAAACAGCCGCTGTCACATCCTCAAAGTACCTCAGAGGACGGATATTGATGCTGGATGTAGATTCACTGAGTGCTGACAGTGAGGGGTAGTTGTGTAGAAACTGGGTGTGGTCCTCTGTGTGTGAGAGCTTCTTCATCTCAGCGTCTTTCCTCTTCAGCTCAGTGATCTCCTGCTCCAGCTTCTCCTGAAGCTCTTTGACTCGACTCACTTCAGTTTCCTGCAGGGATCTGACCTGCTGCTTCACATCAGAGCTTCTTTTCTGGATGAGACGGATCAGCTGAGTGAAGATCTTCTCACTGTCCTCCACTGCTTTATCAGCAGAGCGATTGATAGCCTCCACCTCCCGTTGAAACACCTTCACATCTTTTACTCTGTCCAGGATTCTCTGCTGGATGTTTTGTCGACTCACCTCGAACTCTCTCTGCCTCTCAGTCCTTTCTGCTGCAGCTGAGACTGTGTCGTGGCCTTTATGTTCATCCACAGAGCAGAGATAACAGATACACTGCTGATCAGTACGGCAGAACATCTTCATCACCTCATCATGACGAGGGCAGATGTTCTCCTGGAGCTTCTTGGAGGGGTTCACCAGCTTGTGTTTCTTTAATGGAGCTGCATCATAATGAGGCTGGAGGTGTTTCTCACAGTAAGAGGCCAAACAGACCAGACAGGACTTGATAGCTTTCAGTTTTCTCCCAGTGCAAACATCACAGGACACATCTTCAGGTCCAGCATAGCAGTGATCAGCAGGAGCAGCTTGGAGTCCAGTCTTCTTCAGTTCCTCCACTAAATCTGCTAAAATGGTACTTTTCACCAGGACAGGCCTCGGTGTGAAGGTCTGTCTACACTGAGGGCAGCTGTGGATTTGCTTCTCATCTTCTCCATCCCAGAAGCTTTTAATACAGTTCATGCAGTAGCTGTGTCCACAGGGAATAGTCACCGGATCCTTCAGTAGATCCAAACAGATCGAACAAGAAATTGTGTCCAGGTCCAGCTGAACTCCTTGCTGCGCCATTTCACCTCTCTGTTACAACGACTGTCTGAGTTTCACTTCCTTAGAAATGAAACTTTAAGCTCTGATCTAATCAACTTGTGTTTTTATAGTGAATGGGGGTGTGTTCTTACACCGCACCACCTGTTGGTTACACCCACCTTCACTCTGTAGATCTGAAGGGGAGGGAACAAGGAAATAAATGGACAGAGTGAAGCTCTCTGTGTTTGAGGACAGAACAAAGAAGGAGGCGTTTGCATGCTTTGGTTCATCCCAGGAAGATGAGGTGTTTGACAGTTTCAAGGTGTGTTTTGTTCTTCAATATTCCCAGGTATTTTGGCATGGTAACAACATGACAATGTGCTGAGTCAATGTCCTTTCTACTCAAGATACACTGTTGAATTTAAACAAGAAATAGAAATAGTTAGTAATTAATGTAATTTTAAGTTTTATCAAGTGATATCACACTGGATCCAAACACAGCACACACACACAAATCTTTTTATCTGAGGGAAACAGAAAAGCAACACTCTTAGTCTATCCTATCTTAGTCATCCAGACAGATTCACTACATATTGTACTACTCAGGTCCTGAGTAGAGAGAGTCTGACTGGACGTTGTTACTGGGAGGTGGAGAAAGGTGAGGGAGGAGTTTCAGTAGTTGTAGCATACAAAGAGAATAACACTGTAAATGAGAAATTTGGAGACAATAACAAGTCTTTGGCATTAGGTTTTTACAAATTTGAATTCAGACATAACAATATCAAAACTCCAGTCTCAGGTCCTGAGTCCTCCAGAGTTGGAGTGTATCTGGATCACAGTGCAGGTATTCTGTCCTTCTACAGCGTCTCTGAAACCATGACTCTCCTCCACAGAGTCCAGACCACATTCACTCAGCCTCTCTATGCTGGACTTCTTCTTTGTGGTCCCACTGGAAACACTGCTATGCTATGGTGAGCCGTGTAGACTTTACACGTTTTCATTGTCAGTTTTCATTTTGTCAACATTTTTATTTCCAAGTGCAAGAGTGGTTGACACTTTGGTATGCTGTCACTGCTAATGCCATCTATGCTATTAGCAGTGACAGGTACCATGGCAAGTTTTAGCAAAACAAACTAGAAATATAAAACACATCATTAGTGCAGTACTCTGGGCCTTAACTGAACTTAAGTTATTGATATAATCTCAGGGAAACACTTCATTAAAAGTCCTGCTTTTAAATATTACATTTATATATTTGCAGTAAGGTGTAAAAGCACTAGCTTGTCCGAATTTGTCAACATTAATGCGTAATGTTGTTGTCATGTTTTATTTACACATTATTTGACATTTTGGGTCTGAATGGTACTTAAATTCTCATTTCTCATGTTTATTGATATAATTATGGTACTTTGCATATATTTAGAGGTAGGGGGTTAGTAGTGTTGAAGCAGTCGATCTGAAGCTTAAATTACAGTGACTCAGGACATTGTCGTGTTGTCACCATGCCAAAATACCTGGGATGTGACTCAGCACATTGTCGTGTTGTCACCATGCCAAAATACCTATGATTATTGAAGAACAAAACACACCTTGAAACTGTCAAACACCTCATCTTCCTGGGATGAACCAAATCATGTAAACGCCTCCTTCTTTGTTCTGTCCTGAAACACAGCAAGCTTTATTCCCTAAGAAGCTCTGATGTGAAACCCACTGGGATGAAGATGATGAGAAGCAAATCCACAGCTGCCCTCAGTGTAGGCAGACCTTCACACCGAGGCCTGTCCTGGTGGAAAACACCATGTTAGCAGTTTTACTGGAGGAACTGAAGGAGACTGGACTCCAAGCTGCTCCTGCTGATCTCTGCTATGCTGGACCTGAAGATGTGTCCTGTGATTTTTGCACTGGGAGAAAACTGAAAGCCTTCAAGTGTCTGTCTGATCTCTTACTGTGAGGAACACCTACAACCTCATTTTGAATCAAATACATTTGAAAAGCACAAGCTGGTGGACCCCTCCAAGAAGCTCCAGGAGAACATCTGCTCTCGTCATGATGAGGTGATGAAGATGTTCTGCCGTACTGATCAGCAGTGTATCTGTTATCTCTGCTCTGTGGAGGAACATAAAGGCCACGACACAGTCTCAGCTGCAGCAGAAAGGACTGAGAGGCAGAGAGAGCTCGAGGTGAGTCGACAAAACATCCAGCAGAGAATCCAGGACAGAGAGAAAGATGTGAAGGTGCTTCAACAGGAGGTGGAGGCTATCAATCGCTCTGCTGATAAAGCAGTGGAGGACAGTGAGAAGATCTTCACTGAGCTGATCAGTCTCATCCAGAAAAGAAGCTCTGATGTGAAGCAGCAGGTCAGATCCCAGCAGGAAACTGAAGTGAGTCGAGTCAAAGAGCTTCAGGAGAAGATGGAGCAGGAGATCACTGAGCTGAAGAGGAAAGACGATGAGCTGATACAGCTCTCACACACAGAGGACCACACCCAGTTTCTACAAAATTACTCCTCGCCAACATGTCTCAGTAGAGGTATATACTTTCCAGCAATCAACCCCTTTTGTCTGCAGCACTTTAATGGATTGCAAAAGACTGTGTCAAAAATCAGAGATAAACTACAGAAAGTTCTAAACAATGAATGGACAAACATCTCGCTGACAGTGTCTGTTTTTTTTAATATATATTTTATTGAGCATCAATAATAATACAAAACATCCACAATGGGACAGCAGAATGACATAAAAACAATGCTCATAATTCCAATATGTTTCCTTACCCCCACCCCACCCACCCTTCCCCCACCCCACCCACCCTTCCCCCATTTCTAAGGGCCCATCCCACCACCCCACCTGTCTCTGGGTAACAAACATTACAATAAAAAAATTAAAATAAAAAAAACAAGTAAAGGGGGTAAGACAAGACAAACCAATATAAATAAATAAACAAATAAAAGAAATAGAAACAAAACTGGGGTGTTAAGTTATTCAGAAACTCAGATATCTGACTCCTCAGGAACGATGTCTAAAGACTCTATGATGGACAGTAAGGGGTTCCAAATTCGATCAAAGCTCTTCAGAGAGCCCCTGAGGGAAAACCTCAGCCTTTCCAACTTTAAATTATATAAAACTTCCTTGATCCAACGATCATGGGATGGGGGGAAAGCTTGCTTCCAATTTAGAAGAATCAATCGCCTGGCCAGTAGGGTGCAGAAGGCCATGGAATGACGTGCTTTAGCTGATAGGGTATTGTTAGATGGGATACCAAAAAGGGCGGAGAGGGGATGTGGATCTGCCACAAAATCATAGGCCATTTGAAGAGTATCGAATATTTTAGCCCAAAAACCTGTCAGCTTTGGGCATGACCAAAACATATGCATGAGGTCGGCAGGGGACTGGTGGCACCTGTTACAAGCGTCAGCAACACTGGGGTAAATTTTAGACAATCTATGATTGGTGTAATAAATCCTGTGTATGAATTTGCATTGAATCAGCCCATGTCGGGCACAAATGGAGGAGTTATGGACTAACTCAAGAATATTGCCCCACTGGTCATCCTCTATATTAAGCCCCAGATCCTGTTCCCATGACTCCCTCGTCTGCTGGGGGAAGACTGAAGTGATGCAGTCCATGGCACTGCTGATATGTGAAATATTCCCTTTCTGATTGGGGTTTATCATGAGAAGAGTGTCTAATAATGTCTGTGGGGCGAGATTAGGAAAGTCGGGATAATATTTCTGAACAAAATGCCTAACTTGGAGAAAGCAGAAAAGGTGCAATGATGGTAGCTTAAATGTAGCAGACAGATCAGTGAAAGACATGTAGGTCCCCTTATCATAGAGATCCTTGATAGATAATATGCCACTATCAGACCAAAGTTGAAAGGCAGAATCCATAGTAGATGATTTGAAGTTGTGATTGTGGAACACTGGAGCTAAAGTAGAGGGACCTTGTAGGCCAAAGTGCTTTCTAAAGTGCAACCAAATTTTAAGCGACTGAGTGACCACTGGGCTAGTGCTGACATTAGCAACAGACACAGGAAGCCGGGAACACAACCATGACTGCAATGACATCTGAGTGGAAGAAAATTCCATTTGGACCCAGGCAGGTTGCAAGATAGTAGATTTGACGGTCCAGAACAACATTTTTTGAATGTTAGCAGCCCAATAGTAATGTAAAAAATTGGGGAGGGCAAGCCCCCCAGCCCGCTTTGGAAGCTGCAGTATCTTTTTCCGCATACGCACAGGCTTGCTGGCCCATAGAAAGGTTGATATTGATTTATCTAGTTTGGCAAAAAACCTTTTTGAAATAAGTACAGGGATATGTTGGAAAAGGTAGAGGAACTTTGGCAGGACAGACATTTTGATTAGGTTTACCCTGCCAGCCAAGGACAATGGTAAATTAGACCATCTGCCAAAATCCTCCTCGACTCTTTTGAGCAAAGGAACAAAATTGTTGTTAAAAGTATCTGATAGGGACCTAGAAATGAAAACTCCCAAATATTTAAATCCCTCATCCACCCATTTGAAAGGAGCTATATTATCTGGCAATCGCCCCGGTAGATTGTTAATTGCAAATAATTTACTCTTCCCAAAATTTTGTTTATAACTGGATAGTTGACCAAATTGTTTCAAAATGTTTAAAACTATTGGAAGGGACGTAGTTGGATTTGATACGTAAAGAAGTAAATCATCCGCATACAGTGACAGTTTGTGTATTGCTCCCTGGCGAGAAATGCCAGATGAAGGAGATTTAATACTCGGAATAAGCCTAGACGCAGCGGCAGTTCTGGCCTGTTGGGCCAGAAGCTTACCAGCCTTGTCCCCTGATTCAAAAAATCGTTGTCTAGATTTAAGTAGCTGTGATTCTGCTTCGTGTGTAGTTAAAAGATTAAACTCTGTTTGAAGTTGTAGGCGTTTTTTATAGAGTAAGGGGTCTGGGCAGTTAGCATAGCTATTGTCAACTTCCTGGAGCTTTTGTGACAGTTCCAATTGTCTGGACCTAGCCATTTTTCTAAGGAGAGATGTATAGGAAATTATATGGCCTCTTAGGTACACCTTAAAGGTTTCCCACAAAATCCGTCTTGACACCTCTGGTGAATCATTTATTTCGAAAAATAGTTGAATGTTTGATCTTAAGGAATCAACAAAAGCGTAATTTGATAGTAAGTGTGAATTAAATCTCCATTGTTTAAAGGTGCGGTTGATATTGGGAAAAAATATATCTAATGATGTAGGAGCATGGTCTGAAATGACTATACTATGATAGTCACATGAGTGTACATTAGAGAGCAGTCTATTATCTAAGAGAAAAAAGTCTATTCGTGAATATGAGTGGTGGACATGTGAAAAAAATGGGTCAGTCAGGCCCAGCTCCCCTGCAATTGTCGTGTTGTCACCATTCTAAAATACCTGGGATGATTAAAGAACAAAACACACCCTGAAACTGTCAAACCCCTCATCTTCCTGGGATGAACCAAAGCATGTAAACGCCTCCTGCTTTGTTGTGTCCTCAAACACAGAGACCTTCACTCTGTCCATTTATTTCCTTCTTCCCTCCCCTTCAGATATACACAGTGAAGGTGGGTGTAACCAACATGTGGTGCAGTGTAAGAACACACCCCCATTCACTATAAAAACATGCTGTTTAGATCAGAGCTTGTGTTTCATTTCTAAGGAAGTGAAACTCAGACCATCGTTGCGACTGCGAGGTGAAATGGCGCAGAAAGGAGTTCAGCTGGACCGGGACACAATTTCTTGTTCGATCTGTCTGAATCTACTGAAGGATCCGGTGACTATTCCCTGTGGACACAGCTACTGCATAAACTGTCTTAAAGCCCAGTGGGATGAAGAGGATGAGAAGCAAATCCACAGCTGCCCTCAGTGTAGGCAGACCTTCACACCAAGACCTGTCCTGGTGAAAAGCACCATGTTAGCAGCTTTAGTGGAGGAACTGAAGAAGACTGGACTCCAAGCTGCTCCTGCTGATCTCTGCTATGCTGGACCTGAAGATGTGTCCTGTGATGTCTGCACTGGGAGAAAACTGAAAGCTATCAAGTCCTGTCTGGTCTGTTTGGTTTCTTACTGTGAGAAACACCTCCAACCTCACTTTGATGTTGCTCCATTAAAGAAACACAAGCTGGTGGACCCCTCCAAGAAGCTCCAGGAGAACATCTGCTCTCGTCATGATGAGGTGATGAAGATGTTCTGCCGTACTGATCAACAGTGTATCTGTTATCTCTGCTCTGTGGATGAACATAAAGGCCACGACACAGTCTCAGCTGCAGCAGAAAGGACTGAGAGGCAGAGAGAGCTCGAGGTGAGTCGACAAAACATCCAGCAGAGAATCCAGGACAGAGAGAAAGATGTGAAGGAGCTTCAACAGGAGGTGGAGGCTATCAATCGCTCTGCTGATAAAGCAGTGGAGGACAGTGAGAAGATCTTCACTGAGCTGATCAGTCTCATCCAGAAAAGAAGCTCTGATGTGAAGCAGCAGGTCAGATCCCAGCAGGAAACTGAAGTGAGTCGAGTCAAAGAGCTTCAGGAGAAGATGGAGCAGGAGATCACTGAGCTGAAGAGGAAAGACGCTGAGATGAAGAAGCTGTCACACACAGAGGACCACAACCAGTTTCTACACAACTACCCCTCACTGTCAGCACTCAGTGAATCTACATCCAGCATCAATATCTGTCCTCTGAGCTACTTTGAGGATGTGACAACGGCTGTTTCAGAGCTCAGAGATAAACTACAGGACCTTCTGAGAGAGAAATGGACAAACGTCTCACTGACAGTGACTGAAGTGGATGTTTTACTGCCACAACCAGAGCCCAAGACCAGAGCTGGATTCTTAAAATATTCACATTTAATCACACTGGATCCAAACACAGCATACACAAAAATATTTTTATCTGAGTGGAACCGAAGAGCAACAGTCCTAGGGATAAATCTATCTTATTTTAGTCACCCAGACAGATTCACAAGCAGTTTACAGGTCTTGAGTAGAGAGAGTCTGACTGGACGTTGTTACTGGGAGGTGGAAAAATTACACGGAGGAGTTTCAGTAGTTGTAGCATACAAAGACAGTAACACTGTAAATGAGAGATTTGGAGACAATGACAAGTCTTGGGCATTAGGTTTTTACAAAAACCGTTATGCACTCAAACATAACAATATCACAACTCCAGTGTCAGGTCCTCAGTCCTCCAGAGTCGGAGTGTATCTGGATCACAGTGCAGGTATTCTGTCCTTCTACAGCGTCTCTGAAACCATGACTCTCCTCCACAGAGTCCAGACCACATTCACTCAGCCTCTCTATGCTGGACTTCTTTTTTGTGGTCCCTCTGGAAACAGTGCTGAGCTGTGTGAGCTTAGTGTGTAGATAGATGCTATGCTGAGCCATATGGACTTTCCACGTTTTTATTTTGTCATCATTTTTATTTCCAAGTGCTAGAGTGGTTGACACTTTGGTATGCTGTCACTGCTAATGCTATCTATGCTATTACCAGTGACAGGTACCATGGCAGATTTTAGCAAAACAAACAAAAAATATAAAACACATCATTAGTGCAGTACTCTGGGCCTTAACTGAACTAAAGTTATTGATATAATCTCAGGGAAACACTTCACTAAAAGTCCTGCTTTTAAATATTACATTGATATATTTGCAGTAAGGTGTAAAAGAACTAGTTTGTCTGAATGTGTTTGATTGTATAATGTTGTTGTTCTTTTATTTACACGTTATTTGACATTTTGAGTCTGAATGGTACTTAAATTCTCATTTCTCATGTTTATTGATATAATTGTGGTACTTTGCATATATTTAAAGGTAGAGTGTTAGTAGTGTTAAATTACAGTTTGAATGCTCGTAATCTTTGGGTTTAATACTTAATCATGTAACATTAGTATTCTTTGTCCCTGTTGGCTGTTTGCAAATATTAAATCCTCCACTAGAGGTCAGTCTTTACATATATTGTCCACTATCCCATACTCAGAAGTACTTTACTGACATTTACAATATAATATACTATAGGGCCAAAAGTTTGTAGACACTCCTGACACCTCTGGTCAACCTCACTAATGCTTTTGTGGCTGAATGGCAGCAAATTCCTGCAGCCAGGTTCAACGTCTGGAGGCTGTTTTCATATTAATTTCCATAGTTTTGGAACAACTTGTTGAACAATTACACACAGGTGTCATTTTCAGGTGTCTACATACCTTGTCAGGGTGCCCACATACATTTGGCCATGCAGATAATGATATATAATGTTTAATAATGTAATATAATACTTAAAGAGTAAGTTTGTTTAATACAATCTTTTAAATTCCTGATGAATGTCTTATAAGTAACTTTTTTTAGGCATTTTTAAATGTCAAAGATGTGACAAAATTATATAGTATATTCTATAATGTGTGTACTTTGCTACTGTATTGATGCATCATCTCATTGGTTAAATGAGCCAAATAGATTTTCCTCTAATGATTGATATTATTTTTGCTGTCTGCTTCCATGAAATGCTTATGATTATGTTTCCTGCTGTATAAAATACATGTAATAATACAATTATTCTCATTAGAGCCTGATTTAGAATTATATATGATATGTAGAAATGTGCAATATAAATTGTATGAAGGATTTACTTAATAAAATCACAACTTGATGCTAAACTTGATTGTTTTTTATTTTTCATTTTATTTCTTTATACCTATAAGACAATTCTATCCTCTTTCTTATTCCTAAACCCTAGTTATGTTCGTTTTATATTGGCTTGTGTTGCTCATAATCATTGGGTTAATATTTAATCATGTAACATTCGTCTCCTTTGTCCCGGTTGGCTGTTTGCAAATATTAAATCCTCCACTAGAGGTCAATCTTTACATATATTTTCCACTATCACATACTCAGATGTACATTACTGCCTTTTACAATATAATATACTATATGGCCAAAGGTTTGTAGACACTCCTGACACATTTGTGTATATAAGGTGTGCGGCTGTTTCTTTGTGGTTTTGTCTATTCTCCTTAGTTCCAGTTAAGGTAAATCTTAATGCTACAGCATATAATGGTATTTTTGACAATAGTGTTCTTCCAGCTTTGAACTGACTGTCTGGGGAAGTGACTTTCCTGTTGCTACTAACGAATGCTTGATTATAGTTTGTGTTGTATTTGAGACTTTTCATGATGTGTAGGCCTAAAATACAATTATTATCCTTTGAGTCTGATGTAGAAATCAGCTATGTTGAAATGTACAATATAAACTGTGTGAAGGATTTACTTAATAAAATCACAATTTGTTACTGAACTTAATATAAAGGATGGCTTTTTATTTTCTTTCTTTTGACTCATAAGATGATTCTCCTGTGTTTCTGTAACCAATAAGTTTTGTGTCAATCAAGCAGTCCACTAGCTTTATATAATAATCAAACATGTGTAATACATATTTATATTTAGAGTATTTTTGATTTGCACTTTAATCAAAATATATAGAAGAGAGAGGTATCTTGGGTGTGCGTCAACGTGAACCATTATCAACATTATCTTTCTGGTAGAGATTTATGACACAGCTGCAAAGACCTCAAATTCTTGTTTTAGAGTCGAAATGAATCCAATGTTTACTCTGGCAATACTAGACCGAAATGTTGAATTTAAAATTGCCATTTTTCACTATACATCTGCCCCAAGTGAGTCGAGTCAAAGAGCTTCGGGTGAAGCTGGAGCAGGAACTCACTGAGCTGAAGACAAAACACCAAATCACACCAGATCCAAACACAGTAAGATCCAGACAACAGAAAAGCAACATTCACGACAGTCAAACAATGCTATCCTAATCACTCAGACAGATTCACTGATTGGTTTTAATTCTTGTACATACAAAGACAAAGCCCTCAAAGTGAAGCCCAAGTTCAATCGACGATCGTACCTTTGCCCTAACGTTATCTTATAACACTAAAAGCAAAACTCTATTTAAAAAGCCTCCAGTTAACAGATACGTTGCTGTAACAGCAGTGACAGGTACAGGCCAAGTCATTAGCCTTTATGTGTAAGAGGGCCTCATAACCTGCATTTGTTGTTAGTCGAAAGAACTTTATACCTATGTACACAAAGTAAACATCTCCACGAGGAACAAACCCTTAGTTTCTATGTTACTTATTTCCATTTGATAAAACTTCATTAATTACTAACTATTTCTTGTTTAAATTCAACAGTGTATCTTGAGTAGAAAGGACATTGACTCAGCACATTGTCATGTTGTCACCATGCCAAAATACCTGGGAATATTGAAGAACAAAACACACCTTGAAACTGTCAAACCCCTCATCTTCCTGGGATGAACCAAAGCATGTAAACACCTCCTTCTTTGTTCTGTCCTCAAACACAGAGACCTTCACTCTGTCCATTTATTTCCTTGTTCCCTCCCCTTCAGATATACACAGTGAAGGTGGGTGTAACCAATAGGTGGTGCGGTGTAAGAACACACCCCATTCACTATAAAAACACATCCTGTTTAGATCAGAGCTTGTGTTTCCTTTATAAGGAAGTGAAACTCAGACAGTCGTTGTGACAGAGAGGTGAAATGGCGCAGCAAGGAGTTCAGCTGGACCGGGAAACAATGTCTTGTTCGATCTGTCTGGATCTACTGAAGGATCCGGTGACTATTCCCTGTGGACACAGCTACTGCATGAACTGTATTAAAAGCTTCTGGGATGGAGAGGATGAGAAGCAAATCCACAGCTGCCCTCAGTGTAGGCAGACCTTCACACCGAGACCTGTCCTGGTGAAAAGCACCATTTTAGCAGTTTTAGTGGAGGAACTGAAGAAGACTGGACTCCAAGCTGCTCCTGCTGATCTCTGCTATGCTGGACCTGAAGATGTGTCCTGTGATGTCTGCACTGGGAGAAAACTGAAAGCCCTCAAGTCCTGTCTGGTTTGTCTGATCTCTTTCTGTGAGAAACACCTCCAGCCTCACTTTGAATCACCTGCCTATGAAAAACACAAGCTGGTGGACCCCTCCAAGAAGCTCCAGGAGAACATCTGCTCTCGTCATGATGAGGTGATGAAGATGTTCTGCCGTACTGATCAGCAGTGTATCTGTTATCTCTGCTCTGTGGATGAACATAAAGGCCACGACACAGTCTCAGCTGCAGCAGAAAGGACTGAGAGGCAGAGAGAGCTCGAGGTGAGTCGACAAAACATCCAGCAGAGAATCCAGGACAGAGAGAAAGATGTGAAGGAGCTTCAACAGGAGGTGGAGGCTATCAATCGCTCTGCTGATAAAGCAGTGGAGGACAGTGAGAAGATCTTCACTGAGCTGATCAGTCTCATCCAGAAAAGAAGCTCTGATGTGAAGCAGCAGGTCAGATCCCAGCAGGAAACTGAAGTGAGTCGAGTCAAAGAGCTTCAGGAGAAGCTGGAGCAGGAGATCACTGAGCTGAAGAGGAAAGACGCTGAGATGAAGAAGCTGTCACACACAGAGGACCACAACCAGTTTCTACACAACTACCCCTCACTGTCAGCACTCAGTGAATCTACATCCAGCATCAATATCCGTCCTCTGAGGTACTTTGAGGATGTGACAGCGGCTGTTTCAGAGCTCAGAGATAAACTACAGGACGTTCTGAGAGAGAAATGGACAAACGTCTCACTGACAGTGACTGAAGTGGATGTTTTACTGCCACAACCAGAGCCCAAGACCAGAGCTGAATTCTTAAGATATTCATGTGAAATCACACTGGATCCAAACACAGCACACACAAAGCTGTTATTATCTGAGGGGGACAGAAAAGCAACAGTCCTAGGGATAAATCTATACTATCCTAGTCACCCAGACAGATTCACAAGCAGTTTACAGGTCCTGAGTAGAGAGAGTCTGACTGGACGTTGTTACTTGGAGGTGGAAAAAGTACACGGAGGAGTTTCAGTAGTTGTAGCATACAAAGACAGTAACACTGTAAATGAGAGATTTGGAGACAATAACAAGTCTTGGGCATTAGGTTTTTACAAAAGTCGTTATGAACTCAGACATAACAATGTCCAAACTCCAGTCTCAGGTCCTCGGTCCTCCAGAGTTGGAGTGTATCTGGATCACAGTGCAGGTATTCTGTCCTTCTACAGCGTCTCTGAAACCATGACTCTCCTTCACAGAGTCCAGACCACATTCACTCAGCCTCTCTATGCTGGACTTCTTCTTTGTGGTCCCGTTTATAACACAGCTGAGCTGTGTGAGCTTAGTTTGGAGGTAGATGATATTGTATGGTGAGCCGTGTGGACTTTACACGTTTTCATTGTCAGTTTTCAAGTGCAAGAGTGGTTGACACTTTGCTATGCTGTCACTGCTAATGCTATCTATGCTATTACCAGTGACAGGTACCATGGCAAGTTTTAGCAAAACAAACTAGAAATATAAAACACATCATTAGTGCAGTACTCTGACTGTACTTATGGTACTTTTCATGTATTTAAAGGTAGAGTGTTAGTAGTATTGAAGCAGTCAATCTGAAGCTTAAATTACAGTTTGAATGCTCGTAATCTTTGGGTTTAATACTTAATCATGTAACATTAGTATTCTTTGTCCCTGTTGGCTGTTTGCAAATATTAAATCCTCCACTAGAGGTCAGTCTTTACATATATTTTACACTATCCCATACTCAGATGTACTTTACTGACATTTACAATATAATATACTATATGGCCAAAAGTTTGTAGAAACTCCTGACACCTCTGGTCAACCTCACTAATGCTTTTGTGGCTGAATGGCAGCAAATTCCTGCAGCCAGGTTCAACGTCTGGAGGCTGTTTTCATATTAATTTCCATAGTTTTGGAACAACTTGTTGAACAATTACACACAGGTGTCATTTTCAGGTGTCTACATACCTTGTCAGGGTGTCCACATACATTTGGCCATGCAGATAATGATATATAATGTTTAATAATGTAATATAATACTTAAAGAGTAAGTTTGTTTAATACAATCTTTTGAATTCCTGATGAATGTCTTATAAGTAACTTTTTTTAGGCATTTTTAAATGTCAAAGATGTGACAAAATTATATATGTATATTATATAATGTGTGTACTTTGCTACTGTATTGATGCATCATCTCATTGGTTAAATGAGCCAAATAGATTTTCCTCTAATGATTGATATTATTTTTGCTGTCTGCTTCCATGAAATGCTTATGGTTATGTTTCCTGCTGTATAAAATACATGTAATAATACAATTATTCTCATTAGAGCCTGATTTAGAACTATATATGATATGTAGAAATGTGCAATATAAATTGCATGAAGGATTTACTTAATAAAATCACAACTTGATGCTAAACTTGATTGTTTTTTATTTTTCATTTTATTTCTTTATACCTATAAGACAATTCTCCTGTGTTTCACCTTTCAATATCTAATATGTTTGTGGTGTCAACCAAACAGCCTCCAAGGTCAAAATAACACACTGACAAGCAGTTTTTGTGCACCACATATTTGGAAATGTGTATCCTCTTTCTTATTCCTAAACCCTAGTTATGTTCGTTTTATATTGGCTTGTGTTGCTCGTAATCATTGGGTTAATATTTAATCATGTAACATTAGTCTCATTTGTCCCGGTTGGCTGTTTGCAAATATTAAATCCTCCACTAGAGGTCAATCTTTACATATATTTTCCACTATCACATACTCAGATGTACATTACTGCCTTTTACAATATAATATACTATATGGCCAAAGGTTTGTAGAAACTCCTGACACATTTGTGTATATAAGGTGTGCGGCTGTTTGTTTGTGGTTTTGTCTATTCTCCTTAGTTCCAGTTAAGGTAAATCTTAATGCTACAGCATATAATGGTATTTTTGACAATAGTGTTCTTCCAGCTTTGAACTGACTGTCTGGGGAAGTGACTTTCCTGTTGCTACTAACAAATGCTTGATTATAGTTTGTGTTGTATTTGAGACTTTTCATGATGTGTAGGCCTAAAGTAAAATTATTATCCTTTGAGTCTGATGTAGAAATCAGCTATGTTGAAATGTACAATATAAACTGTGTGCAGGATTTACTTAATAAAATCACAATTTGTTACTGAACTTAATATAAAGGATGGCTTTTTATTTTCTTTCTTTTGACTCATAAGATGATTCTCCTGTGTTTCTGTAACCAATAAGTTTTGTGTCAATCAAGCAGTCCACTAGCTTTATATAATAATCAAACATGTGTAATACATATTTATATTTAGAGTATTTTTGATTTGCACTTTAATCAAAATATATAGAAGAGAGAGGTATCTTGGGTGTGCGTCAACGTGAACCATTATCAACATTATCTTTCTGGTAGAGATTTATGACACAGCTACAAAGACTTCAAATTCTTGTTTTAGAGTCAAAATTAATCCAGTGTTTACTCTGGCAATACTAGACCGAAATGTTGAATTTAAAATTGCCATTTTTCACTATACACCTGCCCCAAGTGAGTCGAGTCAAAGAGCTTTTGGTGAAGCTGGAGCAGGAACTCACTGAGCTGAAGACAAAACACCAAATCACACCGGATCCAAACACAGTAAACTCTTGTCTGTCATTATCTGAAGACAACAGAAAAGCAATATCCTAATCACTCAGACAGATTCAGTGACTGGTTTTAATACTTGTACATACAAAGTCAAAGCCCTCAAAGTAAAGCCCAAGCTCAACCGACGATCGTACCTTTGCCCTAACGTTCTCTTATAACACTAAAAGCAAAACTCTATTTAAAAAGCCTCCAGTTAACATATACGTTGCTGTAACAGCAGTGACAGTGACAGTGACAGTGACAGGTACAGGCGAAGTCATTAGCCTTTATTTGTAAGAGGGCTTCATAACCTGCGTTTGTTGTTAACCAAAATAACTTTATACCTATGTACACAAAGTAAACATCTCCACGAGGAACAAACCCTTAGTTTCTATGTTACTTATTTTCTTTTGATAAAACTTACAACTTCATTAATTATTAACTATTTCTATTTTTTGTTTAAATTCAACAGTGTATCTTGAGTAGAAATGACATTGACTCAGCACATTGTCGTGTTGTCACCATTCTAAAATACCTGGGATGATTAAAGAACAAAACACACCCTGAAACTGTCAAACCCCTCATCTTCCTGGGATGAACCAAAGCATGTAAACGCCTCCTTCTTTGTTGTGTCCTCAAACACAGAGACCTTCACTCTGTCCATTTATTTCCTTCTTCCCTCCCCTTCAGATATACACAGTGAAGGTGGGTGTAACCAACATGTGGTGCAGTGTAAGAACACACCCCCATTCACTATAAAAACATGCTGTTTAGATCAGAGCTTGTGTTTCATTTCTAAGGAAGTGAAACTCAGACCATCGTTGCGACTGCGAGGTGAAATGGCGCAGAAAGGAGTTCAGCTGGACCGGGACACAATTTCTTGTTCGATCTGTCTGAATCTACTGAAGGATCCGGTGACTATTCCCTGTGGACACAGCTACTGCATAAACTGTCTTAAAGCCCAGTGGGATGAAGAGGATGAGAAGCAAATCCACAGCTGCCCTCAGTGTAGGCAGACCTTCACACCAAGACCTGTCCTGGTGAAAAGCACCATGTTAGCAGCTTTAGTGGAGGAACTGAAGAAGACTGGACTCCAAGCTGCTCCTGCTGATCTCTGCTATGCTGGACCTGAAGATGTGTCCTGTGATGTCTGCACTGGGAGAAAACTGAAAGCCTTCAAGTCCTGTCTGGTCTGTTTGGTTTCTTACTGTGAGAAACACCTCCAACCTCACTTTGATGTTGCTCCATTAAAGAAACACAAGCTGGTGGACCCCTCCAAGAAGCTCCAGGAGAACATCTGCTCTCGTCATGATGAGGTGATGAAGATGTTCTGCCGTACTGATCAGCAGTGTATCTGTTATCTCTGCTCTGTGGATGAACATAAAGGCCACGACACAGTCTCAGCTGCAGCAGAAAGGACTGAGAGGCAGAGAGAGCTCGAGGTGAGTCGACAAAACATCCAGCAGAGAATCCAGGACAGAGAGAAAGATGTGAAGGAGCTTCAACAGCAGGTGAAGGCTATCAATCGCTCTGCTGATAAAGCGGTGGAGGACAGTGAGAAGATCTTCACTGAGCTGATCAGTCTCATCCAGAAAAGAAGCTCTGATGTGAAGCAGCAGGTCAGATCCCAGCAGGAAACTGAAGTGAGTCAAGTCAAAGAGCTTCAGGAGAAGATGGAGCAGGAGATCACTGAGCTGAAGAGGAAAGACGCTGAGATGAAGAAGCTGTCACACACAGAGGACCACAACCAGTTTCTACACAACTACCCCTCACTGTCAGCACTCAGTGAATCTACATCCAGCATCAATATCCGTCCTCTGAGGTACTTTGAGGATGTGACAACGGCTGTTTCAGAGCTCAGAGATAAACTACAGGACGTTCTGAGAGAGAAATGGACAAACGTCTCACTGACAGTGACTGAAGTGGATGGTTTACTGCCACAACCAGAGCCCAAGACCAGAGCTGGATTCTTAAAATATTCACATTTAATCACACTGGATCCAAACACAGCATACACAAAAATATTTTTATCTGAGTGGAACCGAAGAGCAACAGTCCTAGGGATAAATCTATCTTATTTTAGTCACCCAGACAGATTCACAAGCAGTTTACAGGTCTTGAGTAGAGAGAGTCTGACTGGACGTTGTTACTGGGAGGTGGAAAAATTACACGGAGGAGTTTCAGTAGTTGTAGCATACAAAGACAGTAACACTGTAAATGAGAGATTTGGAGACAATGACAAGTCTTGGGCATTAGGTTTTTACAAAAACCGTTATGCACTCAAACATAACAATGTCCAAACTCCAGTCTCAGGTCCTCAGTCCTCCAGAGTCGGAGTGTATCTGGATCACAGTGCAGGTATTCTGTCCTTCTACAGCGTCTCTGAAACCATGACTCTCCTCCACAGAGTCCAGACCACATTCACTCAGCCTCTCTATGCTGGACTTCTTTTTTGTGGTCCCTCTGGAAACAGTGCTGAGCTGTGTGAGCTTAGTGTGTAGATAGATGCTATGCTGAGCCATATGGACTTTCCACGTTTTTATTTTGTCATCATTTTTATTTCCAAGTGCAAGAGTGGTTGACACTTTGGTATGCTGTCACTGCTAATGCTATCTATGCTATTAGCAGTGACAGGTACCATGGCAGATTTTAGCAAAAGAAACTAGAAATATAAAACACATCATTAGTGCAGTACTCTGGGCCTTAACTGAACTAAAGTTATTGATATAATCTCAGGGAAACACTTCACTAAAAGTCCTGCTTTTAAATATTACATTGATATATTTGCAGTAAGGTGTAAAAGAACTAGTTTGTCTGAATTTGTTTGATTGTATAATGTTGTTGTTCTTTTATTTACACGTTATTTGACATTTTGGGTTTGAATGGTATTTAAATTCTCATTTCTCATGTTTATTGACATAATTATGGTACTTTGCATATATTTAAAGGTAGAGTGTTAGTAGTGTTAAATTACAGTTTGAATACTCGTAATCTTTGGGTTTAATACTTAATCATGTAACATTAGTATTCTTTGTCCCTGTTGTCTGTTGGCAAATATTAAATCCTCCACTAGAGGTCAGTCTTTACATATATTGTCCACTATCACATACTCAGATGTACTTTACTGACATTTACAATATACTATATGGCCAAAGGTTTGTAGACACTCCTGACACCTCTGGTCAACCTCACTAATGCTTTTGTGGCTGAATGGCAGCAAATTCCTGCAGCCAGGTTCAACGTCTGGAGGCTGTTTTCATATTAATTTCCATAGTTTTGGAACAACTTGTTGAACAATTACACACAGGTGTCATTTTCAGGTGTCTACATACCTTGTCAGGGTGTCCACATACATTTGGCCATGCAGATAATGATATATAATGTTTAATAATGTAATATAATACTTAAAGAGTAAGTTTGTTTAATATAATCTTTTAAATTCCTGATGAATGTCTTATAAGTAACTTTTTTTTGGCATTTTTAAATGTCAAAGATGTGACAAAATTATATAGTATATTCTATAATGTGTGTACTTTGCTACTTTATTGATGCATCATCTCATTGGTTAAATGAGCCAAATAGATTTTCCTCTAATGATTGATATTATTTTTGCTCTCTGCTTCCATGAAATGCTTATGATTATGTTTCCTGCTGTATAAAATACATGTAATAATACAATTATTCTCATTAGAGCCTGATTTAGAATTATATATGATATGTAGAAATGTGCAATATAAATTGTATGAAGGATTTACTTAATAAAATCACAACTTGATGCTAAACTTGATTGTTTTTTATTTTTCATTTTATTTCTTTATACCTATAAGACAATTCTATCCTCTTTCTTATTCCTAAACCCTAGTTATGTTCGTTTTATATTGGCTTGTGTTGCTCATAATCATTGGGTTAATATTTAATCATGTAACATTCGTCTCCTTTGTCCCGGTTGGCTGTTTGCAAATATTAAATCCTCCACTAGAGGTCAATCTTTACATATATTTTCCACTATCACATACACAGATGTACATTACTGCCTTTTACAATATAATATACTATATGGCCAAAGGTTTGTAGACACTCCTGACACATTTGTGTATATAAGGTGTGCGGCTGTTTCTTTGTGGTTTTGTCTATTCTCCTTAGTTCCAGTTAAGGTAAATCTTAATGCTACAGCATATAATGGTATTTTTGACAATAGTGTTCTTCCAGCTTTGAACTGACTGTCTGGGGAAGTGACTTTCCTGTTGCTACTAACAAATGCTTGATTATAGTTTGTGTTGTATTTGAGACTTTTCATGATGTGTAGGCCTAAAATACAATTATTATCCTTTGAGTCTGATGTAGAAATCAGCTATGTTGAAATGTACAATATAAACTGTCTGAAGGATTTACTTAATAAAATCACAATTTGTTACTGAACTTAATATAAAGGATGGCTTTTTATTTTCTTTCTTTTGACTCATAAGATGATTCTCCTGTGTTTCTGTAACCAATAAGTTTTGTGTCAATCAAGCAGTCCACTAGCTTTATATAATAATCAAACATGTGTAATACATATTTATATTTAGAGTATTTTTGATTTGCACTTTAATCAAAATATATAGAAGAGAGAGGTATCTTGGGTGTGCGTCAACGTGAACCATTATCAACATTATCTTTCTGGTAGAGATTTATGACACAGCTGCAAAGACCTCAAATTCTTGTTTAAGAGTCGAAATGAATCCAATGTTTACTCTGGCAATACTAGACCGAAATGTTGAATTTAAAATTGCCATTTTTCACTATACATCTGCCCCAAGTGAGTCGAGTCAAAGAGCTTCGGGTGAAGCTGGAGCAGGAACTCACTGAGCTGAAGACGAAACACCAAATCACACCGGATCCAAACACAGTAAGATCCAGACAACAGAAAAGCAACATTCACGACAGTCAAACAATGCTATCCTAATCACTCAGACAGATTCACTGATTGGTTTTAATTCTTGTACATACAAAGACAAAGCCCTCAAAGTGAAGCCCAAGTTCAATCGACGATCGTACCTTTGCCCTAACGTTATCTTATAACACTAAAAGCAAAACTCTATTTAAAAAGCCTCCAGTTAACAGATATTTTGCTGTAACAGCAGTGACAGTGACAGGTACAGGCCAAGTCATTAGCCTTTATGTGTAACCTGCATTTGTTGTAAGCTGAAAGAACTTTATACCTATGTACACAAAGTAAACCTCTCCACGAGGAACAAACCCTTAGTTTCTATGTCACTTATTTTCATTTGATAAAACTTACAACTTCATTAATTACTAACTATTCCTATTTCTTGATTAAATTCAACAGTGTATCTTGAGTAGAAAGGACAGTGACTCAGCACATTGTCGTGTTGTCACCATGCCAAAATACCTGGGAATATTGAAGAACAAAACACACCTTGAAACTGTCAAACACCTCATCTTCCTGGGATGAACCAAAGCATGTAAACGCCTCCTTCTTTGTTCTGTCCTCAAACACAGAGACCTTCACTCTGTCCATTTATTTCCTTCTTCCCTCCCCTTCAGATCTACAGAGTGAAGGTGGGTGTAACCAATAGGTGGTGCGGTGTAAGAACACACCCCATTCACTATAAAAACACATGCTGTTTAGATCAGAGCTTGTGTTTCATTTATAAGGAAGTGAAACTCAGACAGTCGTTGTGACAGAGAGGTGAAATGGCGCAGCAAGGAGTTCAGCTGGACAGGGAAACAATGTCTTGTTCGATCTGTCTGGATCTACTGAAGGATCCGGTGACTATTCCCTGTGGACACAGCTACTGCATGAACTGTATTAAAAGCTTCTGGGATGGAGAGGATGAGAAGCAAATCCACAGCTGTCCTCAGTGTAGGCAGACCTTCACACCGAGACCTGTCCTGGTGAAAAGCACCATGTTAGCAGCTTTAGTGGAGGAACTGAAGAAGACTGGACTCCAAGCTGCTCCTGCTGATCTCTGCTATGCTGGACCTGAAGATGTGTCCTGTGATGTCTGCACTGGGAGAAAACTGAAAGCCCTCAAGTCCTGTCTGGTTTGTCTGATCTCATTCTGTGAGAAACACCTCCAGCCTCACTTTGAATCACCTGCCTATGAAAAACACAAGCTGGTGGACCCCTCCAAGAAGCTCCAGGAGAACATCTGCTCTCGTCATGATGAGGTGATGAAGATGTTCTGCCGTACTGATCAGCAGTGTATCTGTTATCTCTGCTCTGTGGATGAACATAAAGGCCACGACACAGTCTCAGCTGCAGCAGAAAGGACTGAGAGGCAGAGAGAGCTCGAGGTGAGTCGACAAAACATCCAGCAGAGAATCCAGGACAGAGAGAAAGATGTGAAGGAGCTTCAACAGGAGGTGGAGGCTATCAATCGCTCTGCTGATAAAGCAGTGGAGGACAGTGAGAAGATCTTCACTGAGCTGATCAGTCTCATCCAGAAAAGAAGCTCTGATGTGAAGCAGCAGGTCAGATCCCAGCAGGAAACTGAAGTGAGTCGAGTCAAAGAGCTTCAGGAGAAGATGGAGCAGGAGATCACTGAGCTGAAGAGGAAAGACGCTGAGATGAAGAAGCTGTCACACACAGAGGACCACAACCAGTTTCTACACAACTACCCCTCACTGTCAGCACTCAGTGAATCTACATCCAGCATCAATATCCGTCCTCTGAGGTACTTTGAGGATGTGACAGCGGCTGTTTCAGAGCTCAGAGATAAACTACAGGACGTTCTGAGAGAGAAATGGACAAATGTCTCACTGACAGTGACTGAAGTGGATGTTTTACTGCCACAACCAGAGCCCAAGACCAGAGCTGGATTCTTACAATATTCATGTGAAATCACACTGGATCCAAACACAGCACACACAAAGCTGTTATTATCTGAAGGGGACAGAAAAGCAACAGTCCTAGGGATAAATCTATCCTATCCTAGTCACCCAGACAGATTCACAAGCAGTTTACAGGTCCTGAGTAGAGAGAGTCTGACTGGACGTTGTTACTTGGAGGTGGAAAAAGTACACGGAGGAGTTTCAGTAGTTGTAGCATACAAAGACAGTAACACTGTAAATGAGAAATTTGGAGACAATAACAAGTCTTGGGCATTAGGTTTTTACAAAAGTCGTTATGAACTCAGACATAACAATATCTCAACTCCAGTCTCAGGTCCTCGGTCCTCCAGAGTTGGAGTGTATCTGGATCACAGTGCAGGTATTCTGTCCTTCTACAGCATCTCTGAAACCATGACTCTCCTCCACAGAGTCCAGACCACATTCACTCAGCCTCTCTATGCTGGACTTCTTCTTTGTGGTCCCTCTGGAAACAGTGCTGAGCTGTGTGAGCTTAGTGTGTAGATAGATGCTATGCTGAGCCATGTGGACTTTGCATGTTTTCATTTTGTCAGCATTTTTATTTCCAAGTGCAACAGTGGTTGACACTTTGGTATGCTGTCACTGCTAATGCTATCTATGCTATTACCAGTGACAGGTACCATGGCAAGTTTTAGCAAAAGAAACAAAAAATATAAAACACATCATTAGTGCAGTACTCTGGGCCTCAACTGAACTAAAGTTATTGATATAATCTCAGGGAAACACTTCACTAAAAGTCCTGCTTTTAAATATTACATTGATATATTTTCAGTAAGATGTAAAAGAACTAGTTTGTCTGAATGTGTTTGATTGTATAATGTTGTTGTTCTTTTATTTACACATTATTTGACATTTTGGGTCTGAATGGTACTTAAATTATAATTTCTCATGTTTATTGATATAATTATGGTACTGTTCATGTATTTAAAGGTAGAGTGTTAGTAGTATTGAAGCAGTCAATCTGAAGCTTAAATTACAGTTTGAATGCTCGTAATCTTTGGGTTTAATACTTAATCATGTGACATTAGTATTCTTTGTCCCTGTTGGCTGTTTGCAAACATTAAATCCTCCACTAGAGGTCAGTCTTTACATATATTGTCCACTATCACATACTCAGAAGTACTTTACTGACATTTACAATATACTATATGGCCAAAAGTTTGTAGACACTCCTGACACCTCTGGTCAACCTCACTAATGCTTTTGTGGCTGAATGGCAGCAAATTCCTGCAGCCAGGTTCAACGTCTGGAGGCTGTTTTCATATTAATTTCCATAGTTTTGGAACAACTTGTTGAACAATTACACACAGGTGTCATTTTCAGGTGTCTACATACCTTGTCAGGGTGTCCACATACATTTGGCCATGCAGATAATGATATATAATGTTTAATAATGTAATATAATACTTAAAGAGTAAGTTTGTTTAATACAATCTTTTGAATTCCTGATGAATGTCTTATAAGTTACTTTTTTTAGGCATTTTTAAATGTCAAAGATGTGACAAAATTATATATGTATATTATATAATGTGTGTACTTTGCTACTGTATTGATGCATCATCTCATTGGTTAAATGAGCCAAATAGATTTTCCTCTAATGATTGATATTGTTTTTGCGGTCTGCTTCCATGAAATGCTTATGTTTATGTTTCCTGCTGTATAAAATACATGTAATAATACAATTATTCTCATTAGAGCCTGATTTAGAACGATATATGATATGTAGAATATATAAGAAAATTCACCTTTCAATATAGCGAATATGTTTGTGCTGTTAACCAAACAGCCTCCAAGGTCAAAATAAAACACTGACTAGCAGTTTTTGTGCACCACATATTTGAAAATGTGTATCCTCTTTTTTATACTTAAACCCTAATTATGTTCATTTTTATATTGGCTTGTTTGTTTTATATTTATAGATCAAATTTTGATTTGCAATGTTGTTAAAAGGTACTAGACCCATAAACTTAAACATAAATCAAAAGGGATAAATAATATGACTTTAAATAATATTATATAGATATCATTAGATATTCCAGAATGGCGCCGGCGACAACGGCAGCCTCTCATTGCAGCTCCTATCATTGTTGTAGTTTTAGTGTGTTTTCAGTGTTTTTAGCCTGTGTTTTTTTTGTTTTTTGCTATTTTTAACTGTTTTCTTGCTTTCTTGTTATTTTGTTCGCGTCGCCTTGATACTTTTTCAGCGTTTTTGAGCACTTTTTATTTTTTGTTTACGCTGGTCTCCATGGCGACGGAGAATCGCATTGTTTACACCCGCGACCAGATGATCGCCCTGGGGTACCCGAGCATCCTGACTGGAGAGAGACCCTCCATACCGGAGGAGCTGAGGATGAGACGGCGAGGCTGCAGATCGGGGGTTAAACGGAGGATGAAGAGGGGGAGGCTTAAACCCTACATCCCTGCAATCATCGAGCAGATACCGGACTCCAACGTCACCCCCTGCTCTCCTCATCCCCGCTGGCGTGGGGTGAATCACCGCAACTTGCGGCCTCTGTGTCGGGCTCCCCGGTCAGCCAACGCCGCGGCCCCGCCGGTTCCTGCCAGGATTGGCCTGGTAAATGCTAGATCACTAGCGAACAAGACTTTTGTCTTAAAGGACTTCTTCACGTCCCGAGGATTGGATTTCCTCTGTGTGACTGAGACATGGCTGAGTGTTGGTGAATCCAGCGCTTTCACTGAACTTTTACCCCATGATTGCTGCTACTTTAACTCCCCGCGGACGTCGGGCCAAGGAGGAGGAATAGCGACTGTCTATAAGAGTCATTATAAATGTAAGCAGCTATTGCTGTCATCCTCTTTCACCAGCTTTGAACTGAGCTTATTTGAGCTTGGTCGCTCTCACACAGTGTTGTGTGCTGTGGTCTATCGGCCTCCCAAGTACAATAAGGACTTTTAAATGACTTCTCTGATTTCCTGGCTGAAATCATGCCTAAATATGACCGTGTTCTTATTGTTGGGGATTTTAATGTTCATGTGTGTTGTCCAGATAAGCCAATGGCAAAGGGTTTTTTAAACCTCATTGATTCTTTTAATCTTGTGCAATCTGTGTCTGGACCCACACAAGAACACGGACACACACTTGATCTTGTCTTATCATATGGTTTGCCCGTTTTTAACCTAGAGATATGTGACGCAGTGTTTTCTGACCATATGCCTGTATTATTTGAGGCTGCCCTTGCCTGTCATACAGTTAAACCTCGCGCTGCTGCTCGGCGCTGTCGCATTATTAACCCTTCCACTGCTGTTCAGTTCTCGGTTGCTTTCAGTCAGAATTCCATCTTTCCTGAGTCTGTGTGCAATACAGAGGAGCTTAGCTCATGGTTTCACTCCACCTGCCAAACTGTTTTAGACACTGTGGCTCCATTAAAATCCAGGCAGCCTAAAACTAAATCTGAGCCCTGGCTAAATGATACGACTCATGCGGTCAGACGTGAGTGCCGTAGAGCTGAGCGCAAGTGGAAGAAGGACAAACTGCAGGTGTCTTTTCAAATGTTAAGGAACTGCTGGCGTCATTATCAAAAAACTGTGAAAGATGCTAAAAGAAAACATTTCTCAGATATTATCCTGTCAAACTGTCACAAGCCTTGTGTTTTGTTTAACACTATTGACTCACTTCTGAATGCCCCACAGACTGCCTGTATAGAGGCGTCCCCCGCTGTGTGTGAAAACTTCCTTCACTTTTTTATTGATAAGGTCACTTCAATTAGGGCTCAAATCTCACCTTCAGCTTATGACCCCTCAATCTCTGTCCCCTGCTCTGCTGTCTTTGACCATTTTGAGCCTGTGACTTTTTCCTTTTTACAGGAGGTTGTTGGTCATTTGAAGCCCTCAGGTTCTCCAAATGATGCTGTCCCCCCTCGACTATTTAAGGAGGTTTTCCCCACTGTAGGACCATCTGTTATTGCAGTCATAAATAGCAGTCTGACCTCAGGTGTGGTCCCTGAAAATTTTAAACATGCAGTAGTACAACCTCTGATTAAAAAACCTGCTCTAGATCCTGCAGTTCTTGCTAATTTCAGGCCTATCTCCAAACTGCCTTTCCTTTCAAAAATCCTGGAGAAGATTGTGCACAGTCAATTAATGGCCTTTCTGGAAGAACATAATATTCTAGAGGTTTTCCAATCCGGTTTTAAAACCGTGCACAGCACAGAATCAGCTCTCTTAAGAGTTTTTAATGATATCTTTTTAGCTACTGACTCTGGTGACTGTGTTATCCTTGTGCTTTTAGATTTAACTGCTGCATTTGACACAGTGGATCATGAAATACTGATCTCACGTTTGAAGCAGTGGGTGGGCATCAGGGGCATAGCACTGGAGTGGTTCAGGTCTTACTTGGCTGATCGAACTTTCTGTGTCAGCCTAGGTGACTCTGTATCCTCCTCTGCTCCTCTCTCGTGTGGGGTCCCACAGGGCTCAGTTCTTGGCCCTCTCCTTTTCTCTCTCTATTTGCTCCCACTTGGTTCCATACTTAGGAAGCACGGCTTTTCATTCCACTGTTATGCAGACGACAGTCAGATTTATGTGCCTCTTAAAAAGAAAAATGAATACTCTGTCAGACTGCTACTTAAGTGCCTTGACGACATAAAGGCCTGGATGGCTCTGAACTTTTTAAATTTCAATGATAAAAAGACAGAAGTGATGGTTTTTGGTGGCACCACAGGGATCCCCCTGTAGATCTGGGTTCCTTGGCCCAGTATATTAAACCTAGCATCACAAACCTAGGGGTTAAGGTGGACCCTGAGCTTAAGTTTGACAGTCAGATCAAGGCTGTTGTCAAATCAAGCTTTTTCCATTTGAGGCAGCTGGCCAAAATAAAGCCAATTCTATCAAGGCAGCACTTTGAGACGGTAATCCACGCCTTTGTTACCACTCGGCTGGATTACTGTAATGCACTATATGTGGGGGTTAGTGGGTCCTCCATCGCCCGTCTCCAGATGGTACAGAATGCTGCTGCACGTCTTTTTAACTGGCACATGTAAACATGAGCACATTTCCCCCATTTTAGCCTCACTCCACTGGCTGCCAATTCAATTTAGGATCCATTTTAAAATTCTTTTATTTGCTTTTAAATCCCTAAATGGTCTTGCCCCGCCCTACCTATCTGAGCTTCTACACCCCTATATACCCGTCCGCCCCCCTCAGGTCAGATGATCAGCTGCTCCTGAGTGTGCCTAAAACTAAGCGGAAGCTCAGAGGGGACCGTGCCTTTGCTGTGTCTGCTCCTAAATTATGGAATGATCTGCCTCTGCACATTAAACAGGCCTCTTCTCTGTCTGTTTTTAAAACCGGTCTTAAAACCCATCTCTTCTCTGTGGCCTTTGACACCTAGTAAGATGTCGACTTTATTTACTTGATTTATTTTTTGTATTTGTTATTTTTTACTTTTTGATTGCTTGTTATTGCATGGTTATTATTTTTATTTATGTCTTTTCATTTTATTGTTGTATTATATGTTATTTTGCGCCTCATGTGAGCTGTTATGTCTTTTATTTATGATGTCTTATTTATTCTCCTGTACAGCACTTTGGTCAACTTTGGTTGTTTTAAAGTGCTTAACAAATAAAGTTGGATTGGATTGGATTGAATATATTTTAAAAAATATAATGACTTAAATATGATAAAAAAGAACATTCTTCTGTAAAGAGTTCACCATACAGGTTTTTTTAAATTATTATTTATTTATTATTTGTTAGTGTTTAAGTTTGAGTTTTAATATAAACTTTAAATCCACATAAAAATCCACTGAAATTTGAGGTAACTTTTGATATGTTGCATTAACACATATGAAATTTAACATCAACACATTTACAACAATTAATTAAACATTAAATTTAAAACTGTCGTGACACACGTTATGCTTTTATTCTGAAGTGTTTCCGGTCAAAACAGACGCCGTTTTCTAGCTCAGATTTTTTTATTTTTTTTAACATGACCGTATTTTCTGTCCGGTTTTTAACGGCCGCGGCTCTCGGACGGTGTCGTGTAGCTCGGAAAATGAAGGTTTAACGGCCGCGTCGTCGCTCCAGAGTGTCGGGTAAGTGAAGCGCCAGTGTCGGCATTATTATTATTATTGTTTAATGTTACATCGGTGAACGCTATCTCTGCGGGTTAGCTGCTAGCCGCGCCGCTAGCTTCGCGTTGCACTTTTCAAAGTAAAAGCTAAACAGATAACACGCCAAACTCCATGTAAAAAAACCGACAGTTAATATATATATATATTAGCCAGATCGTAACGCTAAACACGCCGTAAACAGAACAGCAAACATTTAATTAATTGTTTTATTTAGTATTATTTAGCTGTGTGCTTTTTAATAACAAGCAAACGTTGATTAATCGCCTCATTCCCCACTCAATTCCTCTTGCTGTTGAAGTGGGCATTCATGTGGTTTGAGCCAAGTACTGCGCAGTTAATTTAATGTTAGGGCATATTATGCATGCCGAATTTATTAATAGACAGCACCGATTCAGAAATGAGTAAAAATGTGGCCAGATATAAACGGGTTGCATTAGCATACAAAGAAAACAATTAAATTATTAGATAATTAATGGGATCCGGCGACCTTATTTATTCAACATTGCGCATGCTTACGGTTGCTCCCACTTCGAGTGTGTGGGGAGGAGATAACAAAAACCGACCTCCTTTTTCTTATTCCATCATCAAATATAAATCACATCTACGTGTTTTTAAGCAATTTAGAGCAAAGTAGAGGGCTGCTACATTTTATTTTGAAGTGTCCTCTTCCGGTCTCCGTGGCGCTTGCGTGTAGCTTCACGCAGCCTCGGATCACAACAGCGCCTGAGAGCAGCTGAGCACTGCGGTGTTTCTGGGCAGCCTTATTATCCGTCACCACACTTCTCGGACTTCTCTCTCGTTTTGTTTTTTTTTGTTCCTCGACGACTCTTCACCCCCCCTCCCTCCTCCTCCTCCTCCGCCTCCTGCCTCATCCTCCTTTATTTTTACCTCCATTTTTTAAATGTTTTCATGCACATCTCAAAGGATTTACACAGAATTATAACCACTAAAAAAAAAAAAAAAAAATGCCATCCTCTGTCGCCCCGCTGGGAGGACAGCTGGTGCGGTGATAGCATCGTGGAGGGGAGGTGGGGGGGGTGATGCCCTTGACTTGGGGAGGAGGAGGAGTTAGGAGGAGAAGTAGGGGGGGCACCACCACCACCACCACCAGCCTCTAATGTACCCGAAAGAAGTGATATTGTAACTGTGTGATCTCCCAATTGGCAGGGGGTGTCAGGGATGCGGCGCATGCTCTGCAAGTTCATTTCGTCCCTGCCAGCCGCGGAGCAGCAGCAGCAGCAGCAGCAGCAGCAGCAGCAGCGTCCTGTTGTGCATCTGCAGGGAGATCCCTGGCCCTGGAGCTCCGCTGGTCAGGCTGAGGAGGCCTGAACGGTCTCCACCTTCCGGATTTAGCTGGTGGCAAGAAGTGTGCAAATGACAAGATAAAGAAACCCCAGAGGTTGTCCTGCCTGCGCTGCAGATAAGCAGAAGCTGTGAGTCTTACTTTCTCATTGGTTGACGTTGTTGCTTTTTTTTTGGGGGCCTCTTTGTGTGCCAGACTGTATTTGTGGGAATAGATGTTCCTATTAATAATAAATGTGATGGGCAGCAGCCCTTGAACTCTTAAGTAGGTTTGGAAGTAGGGCGTTTTTTTTCCCCTGCTAACTTAAAAAAACATTAAAAACAAGGTGGGATTGACTGGAAATAATGGCCGACCACGAGGAGGCAGAGTTGTCGGAGTCCCTTCAGAAGGAGGATGGATTTTCCAGCGAGCAGGAGGAGCCGGGCGCGGACTTCAAATCTAAAAGTTTGCCTATTTTAAACGAAGAAGGGCCCCAAGAGGAGACCTTACTGGCCAGTTCTGCGTCCATAACGGCGGAAGAGAGCGCAGAGTTCATCCAGCTCCCGGCCAAGACCGAGTCCTTTCAGGCCGAGTCCCCGACGAGAACAAACTACCTGCCCAAGCCGGGGAAGTCGGCGCTGAACAGGCCGAGTTCGTACATGGAGAACACGGAGATCCGTAGGAGTAAAAACATGGCGAGGAGGAAGCCCCCGGGGTTTTTCGCTTCCCGGCTGGCTCAGATTCGTCTGCCCAGCAGGAAGTACCTGGCCGTCATCCTACAGGACTCTCGCTGTTTCCTGTTCTGCATGTGCTACCTGACCTTCATCCAGTCGCTCATGGTGTCCGGCTACCTCAGCAGCGTCATCACCACCATAGAGAAGAGGTACAGCCTGAGGAGCTCCGAGTCCGGCCTCCTCGTCAGCTGTTTCGACATCGGGAGCCTCCTTGTGGTCGTCTTCATCAGCTACTTTGGTGGGCGGGGCCAGAGGCCTCGCTGGCTGGCGGTGGGCGGGGTGTTCATCGCCGTGGGCGCCGCCCTCTTCTCGTTACCTCACTTCATCTCGCCGGCCTACCAGATCCAGGAGGTCAACTCGTCCTCTGGCAACGAGGGCCTGTGCATGAACAGCAACGCCAGCGGCAGGGACCGCGTCGACATCACTTCCTGTCCCAGAGACCAGGAGGGCAACGAGCACAACCTGTACGTGGCGCTGTTCGTCATCGCGCAGATCCTGGTGGGCATGGGATCCACGCCCATCTACACGCTGGGACCCACCTACCTGGACGACAACGTGAAGAAGGAGAACGCCTCGCTGTATCTAGGTAAGTGTGTGTGTGTGTGTGTGTGTGTGGAAATGTGTGAGGAGCCGCCGTCAACCAGGCAGCTGATGTCACCGAGTAGTCATCGGCCGTCTTGTGTGATTATGAATCAGTCGGTGACGTCGCTTCTGCAGTGATTGGTTGGAGTGAACAACAGCAGGTGTTTGAGTAGCAACCACTTGTTGTTCAGCTGACGTTCACATCCAGCATAATGGTACAGAACCTGAGAATACTTCTTCCAAAGAAATTAGGACACAAACGACCCCAAAATTCAAAGTTCATTTTGGTAAAAGCTGACAGTTTTGGTTCCTCGTGTTCAGAAAGTCCAGCAGAAGAGAATTATATCTGGGTTGGTGCTCAAGTTCAGATGTTTCTTCAGGTGTTCTCCAGAGAAGAAGAGCAGGGTTAGCTAACCAATCTGGGATTACACTGCGCAGTAAACCACCTGTGAACTGAAGTATGTTGGAGAAACAAGTAAGACACAACTATATTTGTAAAGTATCCAACAGAAAACATCCCACTCTCTCCTTTCAGGTGACTCCAGACCGATTTTTGTTTACAGAATATTTGGTTTATCGATTGCTGTCGGGATGTTGTTGTTGATTTTGAAGACAGTTTCAACAATTATAAAAAAAAATGCGTCTGAAATACATTACCTACAATAGCTTTAACCCCTGGTTTGCTAATATTTTGGCAACGAGAACCCAAACAAACCAAAAAAACCTGCACCGTACAAGAAACCTTTATAATTCAGCAACATGTTTTTGTCAGTAACCATCTCAGTTGTAAATATCAAACATGATTAATACGATGGCGGAAGCTCGGAGTGTTTGCGATAATCAGCATTATCGCACCCGACTTTTTGAGTTCTGACAGTAAAAGAATAATTAAATATAAATATTTTAGTAGTAAACATAACAAAAAAGTGGATTCCTGATAAAATATGTCTGAATTCAGCCTCGTCTGTTTGTCGAGGAAGTGGTTAGCTGGACATCTGTCGCTCGCAAAGACAACTTAACATTAACTTTAAAGACAACAGTAACATAAAGCCATTGATGACAACACGTAGTAAACAATAAATATCGCTGGAAGTTCATGACTACAAATAAAAACACATTTTTTATTTAAACTTGATTTTAGAATCAACAATACATAATTTGAATATTCATGTGACGCACTACATGGCCAAAAGTATGCGGACACCTGAACATCCACCCATATAAAGGACTGTGAATATAAAAACCTGGTGACACGTTACGGAGAGGTTTATACAGGGGTTACAATTCAATATATTGTGATACTGTAAGCAAGGAGATACATAGATTTCTTTTTTAATCTAATTTTAAGAAAACCGTCATCGTAATAGGATATTTTCCGATGTTTCCTTGCACTCTTACTCGTATGTGACTGTTGAGCACATCCTTCTAAAACCACGAGCGTTAATCTGCTGCTGTAACAGCCCACAGTCTTAGGGAAAGGGCTTTCCACCAGATGTTGAACCTGGCTGCAGGGATTTGCTCCGATTCAGCCACGAGAGCATTAGTGAGGTCCGACACTGATGCTGTGTGCAGGCCATCTCTCTCTTTATGGACCCGGCTTTGCTTACGGACGGTTGCCTTGTTCAAACAGGAAAGGGCCCAAACACAAACTGTTGGACACGATTGTCTGAAGCATCATTGTGTGCAGCCCAAAGATACACTGGGTCAGGCTCTGTCAGCAGCTGTAGACAATGTACATACATTCACCTTTTGGCCACTGTGTGCATTTCAACAACTGGCAGTTTGAAGATGCACCCAACACCACATTTGTCGCATCACCAAACATTTCACTACGTTACTAAGTAGGCAGGGCTCCAGACTAACTTTTTGCATTGGTTGCACTGCGCCTAACTTTTTTTTTTTTTTTTAGGTGCACAAGCACAAAATGTAGGTGCACCCAAATTTTTCATTGCGTTGCCTTTAACGCCATAAGGTCACCTTTTTATTGCTCTCCATAACTTTCATATAATGTGAATGATTTTTAAACAAGAATAAGGTGTAGAGAAATGCTTGTCTTTATTTGAAGCACAATTATATATAAAAAGAAAAATAAAGTGTTGCTTCACTGAACTGAAATTGAACATTTCAAACATTTCATTATTATATTTATTATATTTAATAATAATTAATGATAATGATAATGATTACTACTACCTGCCGCTGAAATGTTATGTTTTTTTAAAGTTTCGATATGAAACGTTGTTGACCCGCTCACGAATGCTCTATTTCCGACCATATTCTGACCACACTCCTGACAGTACACGCAGTGCATTGTGTTACGTACTTTGTTGAACCTCAGTCAGGGCAATTGTTTCAGCCAGTCCTGTCTGAAGGAATATATTTTGGCCTTTTTAATTTGGGTCTCGGAGCCGGGCTCTATCCCAGACTCGGTTGTCTCCTCCTCTGGTTCCGAGTCTGATGCTGTCGCCGAAGGACCGGGGCTCGGCAATTTTTAAACACACGCAACTTAGCGCGGTGAACAGGACCACAGCCAATCAGAGGCAAAGACCCGCCCGAGCTCTGTCTCTTATTGGTTTAGAACACGATATGATCCTACCATCAGTGTGTGAGTTCGCTCACAGGAGAACACAGAGAGATGATGCGCTTGCAAAATCAATGTGTGTTTTCACCCGGGCAGCGTCAGGTGCACCAGTGCGACCTAGAACAATTATTAGTCACACTCTTAAACATTTTGGTCGCACTCTGGAGCCCTGTAAGTAAGCCATATCATAAAGTTGAAAACAACCACAGAGTTCCTGCCGTACCCATATTTGTTACCATTAGCCTACATGTCGGAGAGTTGCTTCAGATTTCTGCAGCCAAAAAACCCAACTGTGTGACCTTCGAACCGGCTCCCCCCTTCCCTTTTCCCTTTCACATGCTTCCCCAGAAGTTCTCGGCCCAGTGGACTCAAACAAGGTAAAGCCTAATTAAACCAACAAATGAGAGCTGGGTTATGAAAGAGAGTAGGGGAGGCGGAGGGAAGAGGGGGAAGGTCTTATGTGCATTCTTGTCGCTGGGGGAGAAAAAAGAAAAGTCCCACAGCGGCTCAGTGTCGGTCCGAGCCCCATTTTCCTTCCTTTTTTAAAAACAACCAGAGTGGCAGAAAGAGAGGCTTTGATCAGTGGAGCAGCCGGTTGGTGGTACGATGTCACACAATCCCCAGGTTGTATATAAAAAGAGCCTACTGGTTGTAATTTCAAGACAAAAATTGAAGAAAAAAAAAAAATTAATTGCAATCAAAAACAGAACAACAAATTCCCATATACTGAACATTGCATGGCCAAAAGTATGTGGACACCTAAATGTTGAACCAAAACTGGAATAGTGTTAGGAAAAGGAAATTATACATACATTTGTAGTATCTTATTCTACTGTCAGGACTGCATAGAATATAAAAACATTTTATAATTTTTATTTGACATTTTCTTTCATAAGGGAATCAGAATTTAAACAATTTTAAAACAAACTTCAAAATAAAAAGATATGCCAAAAACTTAAACATTAATTCCTTTACAATAGTTGTTCAAACAACATAAACTGACATAAAATACCCAAAGTACTCAAATAGGTATTTCTCAAATGTTAAATAGTAACATGTGTAACAAGTTAATAAATTAGTTACAGCAGTTGTATACAGGTTTATCAATTAATTGATTAATCAAAAACTATTTACAACGTATACTATATAAACACAAATTTTAATTAACCTTAGCCTTCAGTAAAAAATGATCTTTACTTGTTGTTGGTCGTAACTTTCTCTGCTCTACCAGCCACTTTGGCAAGTAACCAAGAAGTGTTTGTCAAACCCACTTGACCAGTAAACTTTGGCATTCGGTTGCTTTTGTGTCTTGCTGAATGAAGACATTTGTTTCCCGGCCTCAACATTGTACGGTCAGCAACGGCAGAGCAGAGCAGAGCTGGGAATCCCCGTCAGCAGGACAAACACTGTTTGGCTGCAGAAACACGCTGGTGTGGTCGGTCGGTTGGTTTAATGGCAGCTGACAGCTTCTCCAGTCGCTGGAATGAGGGCACCGTCTGTTAGAAACCATAATAGTTCAGTCCAATATCCTGACAAACACAAACCAGCAAAGTCCTACCAGTTTGATGCTTGTAAATGTTGTGTAATAGCTTAGTTGCACTTGCTATTAAAGTAAGCAGCTGTCAGTTGGATTTATTAACTTATTCCTTGTGATTAAAGATCAAATTTATCTTTTCATAATGTCCAAGTCTTCCTTATTGTTTTACTAAATGCTACATTTGGATGGAAACATGACTATAAGAACATGACTACAAACACTGTACAGTTTGCATTGTGGCCTTTGAGTAACCTGCTCAAGAGGAAGCATAGAAAAACCATGATAGTTGGTTTGCAATTTGTTTCTTCCTTCTGTCCCTGTCTTTTGCCTGAGTTAAGATTTACAGTGTGTCTGATATTGACCGTGAAGTGTGCACAAAGGCCTGACTGTACACAGATAGGCCCTCTTATGCTACTTAGCCTACTTACATTATTATGTTAGTGGCAGAACATGAGATGAGCGGAGACAGATGATGTCTTTAGTATATCTGCAGCTGTATTGTGGATTCAGCAGGAATGCTGTCTAGATAGACCACTGCTGTATTCATTTAGCCCACTGCTTTATCTCTGCAGACACTTTTTAAACACAGATTGATCCAGCACTTACAAAAAGCGGAGGCAGAATTTCCTGGCACATGCCATCGCTAAATGCAAACTAAAATCGGCCGGTATCATTTGTCTGGTAATCCCTTATCAGATCAGAGGTGTCTTCTGGTTTATCTCTGCTGCTAATGGAGATAAAAGGACAACTGAGAAGGAGATTTAAACTTGAGTTTCTAGGGAATCTTGAGTCAGATGGCCATGCTCACTGGGAACGGGGCCAGCCTGACAGCAACACAATGCGACATATTCTGTTTTGGCCCTGTCCTGCCTCAAATAATAGTGAC